AAACTGTTTGTAAATCTATGCAAATTCTAATACTATACAACTCTTCTCTTGGACCTTGAACCCTTTTCAGAGTTCAAAAGATCAAGAACCCAAAAATAAAAATTAGTTTATCTGTAAGTAGGCAGTGAATAATTAAATAGATGTCTAATTTTATTCGTCATTCATAATTATCATAACAAGTTTCAAAAAAAAAAATGTTTCATGGTACAAAAATATGAATTCTACGCACGAGTTTCGCACGATGTAGTATTTTTAATTCATTTTAATATGTAATTTTGTTTAGAAAAAAACCGTTACTTGGTTTTATGAATAACACTCATAAGCATAACAATGTAAGGTAGAATATATTATAATAGGCAGATTGTTACAGATTGCTGGTTCTTATTCTTTATACTGGTAGACCTGTTGTCTTGTCGAAAGTGATTCTGTGAATGGGAATTACACTTTCAATAGTGTATCATTCTGTTGTGAACTCGTTAACCCGGCGGGAGTGTGGTGCGGAAAAATTACATAGAGTATGTGGTGGGGTGTAACATACCCCGTGGAACAAAACGTCTTCTATCTAAGTATTTCTCCAAAATAGAACAAAATTATTACTAAGTATTATGAATAAGAATCCCTATAATAAAAAATTAAACAAATAAATACATATTTTTAATACTTTTATTACTTTTTTAGTAGTTGAACAATTTAAGAACTTTTTGGTGACACAAATTTACTTGCGCTATTAAAATATTCATAAAATCAACCACAATAATTAAAACAAAATAAAAACTTCTAAATTAACAAAAAATGAGATCTACTTTCATTTAAAATTAAAAAACACTTATAGAATCAAATGGAATATCTTAATAAGAGGCCTCGCCGTCAGCACAATTTTTGGAAGAAAATATTGCATGTTTGATTGATTGAGTGATTTTCTGCAGCTTCTACAGACATGTTTTGCCTTCCGATCTTTTTTCCGAGGACAATCCGCACATCAAGTATATCGTCCTGAACTGTTTTCCACTGCTGGGCGCAATGGTTCCCCCTTCTGTTCAGAAATTCTTTGGAAAATGTCAGATGAAATATTTTTCTGTGTTTGTCGCAACTGCAGATGTTCTGTTCAACAAACTCAATCCCAAACTATGGAGAAATTCTGTTATTTATCCAGATTATTCTGATAAATTATATTAGAATTAATAGCAGCCATGTGCAAAATTCCATAAAATATTGTCTTTGGCCAACGCTTACTGTTGCGAGACACATTATAAGTAGCTCATCCACGACGTCTACTCCTGCTTTTGTAGAGTTGTAGAAAGTAATAATTTCTGGATCAGTCCCAGTGGAGACAGACAAGTTCTTTTTGCAGCAAGGAGAATATTGTCATCCGAATCCCACTCGCTGCTGATCGCTTCAAAGTCATAACACACTACTTGCTTGTCCGATTCAAGCTTATGCTCACTGCAATGATCAATTTCTTCGGTAGAACCTGATTCATCTAAAAATTCGGGTAAAACTTCATCAACAATGCTTCTTATACGTCTTTCATCTGCCTCCAGTGCCAATTTTATTCAAAAACTATAAAAAATAAAAATATACATAAATATAAAAACAATACACGAACTATGAGGTGGGGTGTGACTTACCCCACGGACGTTTACGCTCGTGAAAAGCAATCACCAGCCGGTATAACACTCAGTTCACGCCACTATCCCCTTCCGCAACCCCTTACCTCCAGCTACACGAAGCCACGAAATCTAGTTATTACCAGTTAAAAAATATACCTAGGTAAACTAGTGCTGGGGTATGCTACACCCCACCACACTCCCGCCGGGTTAAAAATAATTCACTTCTTTATTGGGCAGCCCTTGTCAACTTATCAAAGTTTTTCCGCACATCAAATAAGTAATGATATAACATTGAGCGTAACGACATCATACCTACATACAAGTCAATTAACATAAAATGAAGAAGTTAACAATGACGGGTACTTAGCAATTATTAGTAGCAGATCATCATTCATTAGGCCCCGAGCGTGCAATTATCGACACTATGAAATGATAAATATAATTGGTTTTGTAACAACAGTTTATCCTATTAGCAAGACGCGAGTATTTCCTTGCGGCTAACTAAAGAAGATTTACTAAAATAAAATATGTATAATAACAATAATATTATGATTATAAATTGTTTTAATATGAATTTGAAATCGACGTGTAAGCTTAACAGTAAAAGATGTTGAAATAATCACAATATATCTACATCCTATCCATGGAGACGATTAAAATGAACCCAAACACAATACCATTACTGTAAGTTGACGAGGAGTTGGGTATCCTACGAATTCCATTTGAGCACCGGCTTCGAGGTCATAATTGACCTACCTACCTTACAGCGTCAGCATGTCAGAAAAGCAATGCTATTGTTTACTAGGTAGCAATTTTCACTTCAAGATGCTTGTGGGATTGTTGGACATGATTATAGTGTAATCTCTACTAATGTTATAAAGAAGAAAGATGTTTTTATTCGTTTGTTTGCATTCCATAGACTTTATAGTCATACTGGACAGAGTTGAAAGCATTTCAACTTTGAAAAGCTTACTATTCATAGAGTAGCGTAAGCTGCTTTTTATCCTGATTTTCTCTCAAGACTGCCTTGTTGGCCGAGTGGTCGCAAGTGCGACTGCCGGGCAATGGGTCTCGGGTTCGATTCCCGGGTCGGGCAAAATATTATAGGTTTTTAAAAGAAATCTCAGTAATAGCACGGAGTCTGGAAATGTGCCCGGTATATGCCGCTCACCCCTATTACATGGGACTCATAACATAAATAGTGAAAAATGGGTGTTACTTCTGTGTGCACCTCTGCCTACCCCTTCGGGGATAAAAGGCGTGATGTTATGTTATGTTTCCCTTATGACTGAGGCCTAATTATGACCAATGTTCAAAAAGGAGCGCAAGCGAAGCAGCAGATCAAAAGCTTGTATGTATAAATCGGCGCATGCACCGTTGCGCAAGTCTAACTAATATCTATTATTATAAAGGGCACGTGCTCTGCTCTATTGTCAACTCCAATTATGAGTTATCTAGGGACGATATCGCGGAATTTGCTTTTGAAAAACTTTATTGTGGTATCAATTGTTTGCATATTATTGTCAGCCTTATAAGGAAGAAGTGTTTTGCAATTCCACGTGGACGAAATAAATTAATACTGAATTTTTGATGCGTTAGACAAAGATCCCTTTTATGATCGAACCCGGGGCAAATGTGTAGCAACAGCGGCTTATCGGGTCTGGGTGTGATGTGTTTGTTTTTATTTAACATACTCGTGGAACCAGTTCCAAAGTAGATAAGTTTATGTATAAAAAAGAAGCTGAGCATTTTTTGATGACAACATGATAAGCTTATCTATTGCATAAGATTATTTACGAAAAGTTTAGGTACAACCCTAGCATATGAAGCTACCCTAATCCGTCAATCAATATTCAACCTTATCAATTCCAAATTTTTAGTAACAAAGTTGATTGGCCTGCGTGCGAAAATTGTAAAAATTTATGTTTCATTTGTAGCTAACCCCGACAAACATACCTAAGAATAACTAGCAAAAACGAACTTAACTCTATAATTTGATATTACAACAATTATCTAATACGTACCTTAAGTTATTTTTACAAAGCATGTAATTTTGCGTTCTGTATAAGAAGGGAATTGTAACCTTTATCTTATTACTTTATACTGCCATCGAATTTGCTGGAAATTCTCTCTACTCACGGAACTTACGACTACGACGACGTACACACTAATTGCATGCTTTCAAAGAGCAAAGGTGTTTCTTTCTCGTTCTTCTTGATGCAAATCTATGATTGAGAACGTCCAGTTAGCTTTATTAACAGACTACCGGACAAATTCTATTTTGATGTTTCAAAAGTGCTTATTTTACAATGTGTGGATCGTCTCTGTGTACCGGATAATTTATAATTAAGAACGTAATGTGTATGATCTATCTGCCGTATATTAAGTTCATCGTGTACTACTTAAAGGTAGATACAGGTGCTAATTGAAATAAACGCTTTGTCTTTGTGTATTATCAGTCAGTCAGTCAGTCACCATAAATTAACGGAAGAGTTTAATTGATATTAATTTAGTTTAATTAATTCACATCAATTAAATTAAAAGTCGGTAATAGTCTCGTTTAACACGAACATTTTGATATTTCTACCATTATATATCTGATGTAGAATGAATCTTATGCCATTAAGGAAATGAATGATTATAAACATTGAATTGAATAAAAGCTAAGGTGTCTTAAACTTTATATAATCCTACTTTAAATGGGAAAGTTTGTATGTTTATTACACCTTCACGTCAATACGGCTGAAGGGATTATGATGGACAGAGGTAGATTATGATCTGCAATAATACCTACCATAAAGTAGAGTGTAGTGAGTCCCTTACGCATTTATAATATTAGTACGATATTTTACTTAATTTATATTCATATCAAATGCGACGTTTCGTTTAACTTTTTAAATTATGCGGCACGTGATTGTAATCAAAACATTTTTAGCATTCGGGCTTAATGGACGTTTGACAAGTAGGCCTAGGGCATAAAAATGTTAATACTTTTGAGTCCTATCTTTGCTGATTAAGATTCATCGTTTTATAGCATGAGTTTTGGAGTTTATTTTTCATATTATCACATTTGGTATTAAAAATTAGACTGACAGGACTAGGACTGATACAGTTGGACTTTTTATGTCGCGCTAAATTATATGGGAATCGTACCAACGGCTGTAAAGCTATTTACTTCTTTAGGGAATATAAAGCTAGTGTTCTGTATTTTTTTTTTTTTTTTTTAAGGGGGGAAAATCATCGAATGACTGCTCCCGCCTGGGTGAGGCGGAAGGGAGTGTCAGACTCTTACTGACTAAAAACCACCCCGTTCCTTCTCCTGCACGTCGAGCCGGAGCCCCGGTTACCCGTTAGGTTCTCCGCGACTCTGTATAGAATGTTCTTACTTACAACTGTCATGTAGGCCTCTTTTCGCAGCTGAGCTTCACAATAAACACCGAATAACAGAAGTAACCACATGCTGCACAACGAATCCATTTTAAATAAAGCAATATTGTTCAAATTGCTAGGATACGCACTAATTAATACTGTTTATCAATTTTATTCTTATACTGATGAGGTTCTATTTCAAATGGCACACGTTCGCGTGCGTTCTCATCTAGATACTCGTAACTTTGTCGCCATTGCTGAGGCTTTTATCATTGTACGTTTTGCACGCACCCTACGTCAGCGTCGGCGGCGGTCGTGTACTGGGTACTGAATTGAGTACAATATCAATCGCGGTAAATTGTTTCATTTTTATTAATAAGTACATCGATCCGTGTCTGGATGACCATTGTTTGACATTCAGATCATCATATTTTTCCTCTATAGTGACCTGTGTGTGTAGTAATATTATTTTTGGGCAATATGTAATCTTTCGTGGAACCGATCCGCTGCGCTTTGCCACAAACTGGAACTCTTGTACACTACTCTCTACAGTAGCAACAGTAGCTTGAGGATTTAGCAAGTAAGTAGTGAGCTGTATTTGAATAAATAAAACAGCATTGTAACATTGAGATCAGACACAAAAACGACCCGTCATGGCATAATTTATCAGAATTGAAGAGCCGATAAATAAACCAAATTATTAAAATCGCAATCATAAAATTATACTCGTGTAATACAAAAATAATGTAATTGATAATACGTCATCCCAAAAAAAGATCACTGTCCTGAAAACTATGATTATATTACACAATGTTGTAGATACAGAACTATAGATTATGTAACTATTAGGGCTGGTACCTCTACTTGTATATAGAGTTTACATAGTCCACAAGGTCAAAGCATTTATTTGAAATGAACACTTTAAATGATCAAAAATTTGCCAGCAGCACAAGACAATAAGTGAAGCTAATTGCACGGTACAAAATGTATATTCATGTTCCACTCTTATTGTTTATTTATATTATGGCTGACCTAGCGGCGGCAAAATGATTTACATTTTTCGAAATTATGTAATAGTTTCTTTTTATGGCATAAGCCGGTAAACGAGCAGACGGATCACCTGATGGTAAGCAATCGGCGTCGCCCATGAACACTTGGAACACCAGAGGCGTTACAAGTGCGTCACCGGCTTTTTGGGGATTAGGAGTTTGAGGATCGTTGGAGATTCAGGGATTGGGGAGATTGGGGAAGGGGAAGGTAATTGGGCCTCCGGTAACCTCACTCACACGACGAAACACATCGCAAGCGTTGCTTCACGTCGGTTTTCTGTGAGACCGTGGTATCACTCCGGTCGAGCCGTCCCATTCGTGCCGAAGCATGGCTCTCCAACACATAGTAAAATTTTTTTTGAGGGGAAGAATCGTCGAATCTTCTCCTCAAGTCCTTGATGGAGCGAGAGGTAATGTCAGTCACCTACTGCCTATAAACCACCTCGTACCATCCTGCTTCGAACCGGGGTCACGGTCATTTTTTGCGCTTTTCCGGCATCGCTCCTCGAGTGCCTCGTCTGTAGTGGTCTGGCTCTTTGAAGCGAGCGCGAAACGCGATGACCATACGTTCGGGTCTGGTTCTGGTCGGGCTGCGAGCTACCCTTGCTCGCCGTGCGCAGAACTAAAATCTGTTGCTCAGATATTCCTAGTGTCAAACTACGGTACAAGCTGTTTTTGACAGAAAAAAAATACCCTTTTTTAAGGAATGAGCCGGTAAACGAGCAGACGGATCACCTGATGGTAAGCAATCGGCGCCGCCCATGGACACCTGATACACCAGGGGCATGTGCCGGCTTTTTGAGAATTGGGAATTTAAGGATTGTGGGGGATTGAGGAGACTGGGGAGGGGGGCGAATAATTCACCCTCCAGTAACCTCATTCACACGACAATACAACGCAAGCGTCGGTGTCGTCGGTCGTCGATTTCACGTCGGTATTCTGCTCGGCTGTGGGATCACTCCGGTCGAGCCGACCAATTCGTGACGAAGCATGGCTCTCCATAGTCGTTTAAACTGTCAAACACCAAGCGGTCACCGGTGACCGCGACCTATTGTTCTATAATTGTGTCTATAAAACCGGTACTCGACGAGTTAATTGTTAATGTCACTCAAAATACTTCCTCTTAGTACTACAAGCCAAACCTCGGGTAACATTCAACCAATATGCACAAATATCAGACATATTTCTTTGTTATATGCTATTTATATGTCAAGGTTCGGTGCAGATTCAGGTTCTAATTTCGTGACCTTTGCTGGACTAGTATCTGACTTACCTAAAGATACTGTATCTTCTTCTGTCCCCAACTTTTTCCGCGCAGAATATTGACTTTAAGCAGGTATTCTTTGTTCCAATTTCCAGAGCAAATTATTGCCTATAGTTTCTCAGGCCTATTAGCTCCGGGTACAACAACAGTACATCCTGTAGTTTCGGATAAGGCGTTAGCCACACACACCATTTTTTTTTTTCAAATAAACAAATATGTTAGAGTACTATTTGGTTTTTTTTTTCAAACTGTATGTGATGTTCAGACAGATTTACCTTTTTACTGTTTTATACATGTACACAAAGCACCGCTAATTAGTTAGCGGCGCTACACTTCGACACAACTATCATTTACACAATATACATGTGTGGGTAATTTTATCACACACATCTTGGTATTTAAAAATCATTTTTGTGTCGGTATACGCAATAATTTAGTAAATAAGTTTAAATAAAAACGAGGGTAAAGATAAAATTACTCATAACAAACTTTGAATAAATCGAAATCAAAAATAATGAACGATCGAGCTATACAATACCCATATAAATATAGTGCTTTCTCATTGTAATTTTATGTTACTGAATGATATAAAATATTTCGATGATCTCATCTACAGCGCGCTTGGCGCAATGGTTATCGCCTCCAATTGTCAAGTAAAGTGCCGCCGGATCGATTCCAACATTCACATGTTGTTTTAGAATTAATTTATCAAATATTTGAAATTTGAAATTAGAAACAATTAAATCTTTTCTTTTTTTTTCCTTTCCTATTGTTCTAAATCTTATGTTAATTTTAATAGTAAATACTTTAGATTTATTTATACCTATAATATCTTTTATTTATATTTTAGTTCTAGTTATTTATTATTTAGAATAATCTCATTTGCTTCATGCATTTCAACCAACTTAAATAAGATAAAAACAGTAAAAAAGTAATTAACTGTGATTTCTTAATGGTTCGATACCTGAGTATATTTGCAATGTTTGTGGCGACCATAGAAATCTCGAGTCATTTTATTTTACACGCTTATGAAGTAACTACCGACTATTTAAAACATGTTTTTCAAATCACCCGACTTACAAAATAATTGCGTTCTTAGTTGTCAATTTATGAGGATTTCATAGTTTATTGCTACACTACTTATATTCGTGTGCAAAGTTATTTTTATTTTTACAAGATGTTCCAACACCTATCAACATTTAAAAAGGCTGAAACCATTGTTTTGCATGAGCAAAACATAACTAACAATAACTGAAATAGCAAGGCGTTTAATGATATCGGTGAGTAAATAAGATACTACGTTGATATTCTAAATAATATTTATTTCATTTTGTAACTCGACACACCTATCAATTTTTGCACTAGAATAAAATAATTATTGCAACTTATTATGAAGTTCAATATTATAAAGATATATTAATAATTTATTATTAATTGTATTGTAACTTGACTTGTTTTTGTTAGGAGTGTTTCTTTAAAACATATCTGGTTAGGGATTTTTATTCCTTACGCCACTACTTAATTATAAATTATTATTCTAACATTGTGTTTACTTATATTTATTATTTTTTTAAGTAACTTTAATTCCTGTAAAGTATTTCCTGGTATTTTAAATACTTATTTGTTTGGTATCAACAGAGGAGATCCATGCAGTTATGGGTGCACAGATATGCGGAGACCGGTGACGTTAAACATCGTCGACGTGGGCCTAAACCAAAGGCAAATTCATCGGCTCGGCACTACGACATCGTAGCCAGGCACATGGCTGATCCGTTCCTGCCAACCCGCACTACAGCGACAGCACTGAATGTTTTAATACAAACTGTACGGAGACACCTGCATTCTGGTTTAAGGTGCAGGAAGCCAGAGAAGAAAATATTGTTATCTGTGGTTCACCAGCAAAAGCGCTAAGAATTTGCTAAGGACTTTATTAATTTTGATTGGGCGAACAGTGTAATCGACGAAAAGACTTTCAAGTCGGATAAGGATGGGCGTAAAATATTGTGAAGAAAAGATGGAGAAAGGTATACGAATTGCAACCTTCTGCCTTGTAGGATCAGTGATTGTATTGATTTCGGAATCAATTATTGAGCCTGTCAAACTCTGCCTTTATTAAAATTAACATAAAATAATGTTTAATTTTTTTAAGAATATTAATATGCTGTCTAGAACATACGGTGAAGTGATGTTATTGTTTTGTGGTTAGAAATTGTCATAATTTCTTTCTATTCAACATGTTTATTCACTTCACTTTAATTTTTCATTAACAAATTTATTTAACTGCTTTCGAACTTGATTGACATATTATATTTACGCCCATCTTCAATTAATTTAAAGTTTCCCTGATTCTAAAGGTCATGAAAGTTAAAATCGTTCCATAGCATTCGTCACATTCTTTTTACTATCATACAGCCCACTGAATATTGAACCTTATAACAACCGTCGTAAAATAGATAATTAATGGAAGTTCAAACGACAAAAAGTCGCCCATTTCAAGAAATATTATGTTGACAGTGTAATTTTTTACATGTTTTACTTGTTTATTACTGTAAAACTGTAATTTAATAATACATTATATTATTAAATTACAAAACAAGAATGTTGTATATTTGTTTATTACCTACTTAATAAAAAATGTTGCTGCCATCGTATTACCGCTGTACCGCATGATATTTCCCGATTCGACTATGAGGTTTATTGTCATATCTATTAATTATGATTTAAAGAACTTTAAACTTAACATGTGGTATATAATTAATTATTAGATATAAATATTGAATATAAAACAACATATT